AAAGGAGAAGGAAACAGGAAAAGATATGCTGAAGTTCGTTTTTGACTAGTATGCAATGGAACTGTTGAAATGGATGTAGTTTATGAGCCTGAACAGGTATTTCGTTCCATTGGCTTCGAGTTTCATGTGTCTCCTCTATTTTTCGGTTGAGAGGAACGAAGCTCCCTTTTCAAATGTACCATTCTCGTGCTCGACAGGTTGATGACTGCAGACATCAAACCTGTAGCATAATGGATATATTGACAAGAAATGGAAGTTGTGATGGCATTGGTAGATGATCCGATTCAAGATATGGCCACAAACCACATTTCACTCAATGTTGTTCAAGTTCTAAACTGAAACAGGTGCGCACTTTGCACATACAAGATCTGTAAATTAAATATATGGTACGACCAGTATTACTAGGAGAAAATGCATGAAACAAACACTAGAATAAACAAAATTACAACCCAAACTCAACAAACGCCACGCACTGTCTTTTGAAGCATATAATAGATCTCCAGTGTCTAAGGACAAAGAGCTCTGAACTCAGTACAGAAACTTGGTTTGACCACAATCAGCGCATTCGACGGGAGCCATCATCATTCCCCAGTCCAAGGGACTTCTGTGCATTGGCGATTCCTTCTTCATCTGCAAGATATGCAGCACAAGATTTAGTGAGTGAGAAATAAACTGATGGTGCCAAATTCAAACTATGACACAAGTTGGAGGAGCATCACATAAATGAACTAGATTCGTTGATCTAAGAACAATAGGGCGTACCCAGTGCAAAGAGCTCCCGCTATGTGCGGGGTCTGGGGAAGGGTGTTAGTGGCAAGCCTTACCCTCGCCTGTACAATGCGAGGAGACCGCGACTCGAACCCGGGACCTTTCTGTCACAAGCGGTAAGACTCTACCGCTTGCACCAGGCTTGATCTAAGAACAATGATCCAGCCAAATTAGCAAGGATTGATGCTATTGCTATTTTACTAGACTTTGTCCCTTGAGGTTCGGAGAAGGACATTTATACCATTATCACCCATGAGAGGAGGGATACATGGACTACTAGTTTGAGACTAGCCCTACTCTATTGCCATTGTTTACTAGGAAAAAGGAAAAAGTTTATATAACCCCTTGACGTTTGGAGCGGTGTCTACTTCACCCCCTGAAGTATAAAACCAGTTATTCTACACCTTAAACATCTTCAAACCGTCTATATAACTCCATGAGGTGGTATTGGACCCTGGTTTTGCTGACGTGGTTATCTATCTGTCACACATAGCCACCATGGCGCTCTGCCCAGCTGTTAGGCCCTCTTGGCCCATGAGCTAGCGCACCTAGGTTCAGCAGCTTCGCCGCGACCATCCACACGGGCAGGTCAACCTTGTGATTACTCCACGCCGTCAATGCGACGACATGCACGGGAGGACAACGATTCCAAGCCATAGGCGACACCATCGCGACCGCCCAATCGGTGTTGTCCGGGCTCGACGCCTCCACCTTCCTCTGCTTCTGCGGTCTCGGTGGCGTGGCATGGCGGGCCAGAACTCTAGGCGCACAATGAAGCTCGGGGCGGCCGCATCAGCCAGGAGCGGCGTAATAGGCAGCACCATCAACACCGGAGACGACGGGCACGGGAGCTTGCGGGGAGGAGCGAAGGAGCGAGGGGAGGAGGCGATCCCGGCTGATGGGGAACACGCTCAGAGCCTGCCGACACCCGCTCAGTGGCCCGTGCTCGCGGTCAAGATGCACCAGTGCAGAGAATGGCACTGCCATGTAAGCCGCCCTCCCACCCGCCGGCCATCGATAGTTGCTTCGCCTACCTGTCAGCTCACCCAAAGGCAGTCTGACACGTGTTTGATTCGAATGCTCATGGTTGTAAGCGGAGAACGGCTGGAGAACGACTGAACGGGTGGCTGCGGACGAGCACCCTGCGACCCTGCATTCGTCAACAACCACAGCCGCCGCCGCCGCCACCTCCACAGCCACTGCCACCAGCTCTGATGTCCTTTGTTTTGTTTGTCGCCGGACGGTGCTGTGCCTGTGTGAGTTATGTATGCATTGCTTAATTCAATTCTCGATGCCGGTTGCCTTGAATGATATGTGTTCATATCGATCGGAGGATAATGCATGTGTAGGTGTCCAAGCTGGTACACGGGCCAGGCTAGCTACCTAAACGGCGTCCAGGTCCGGCCAACAAAATCATGCTCATGCATGCATGAGTTGCTATCTGTGAGGCACGCAGGGCTGCAACCTGCAAAAGCTGAACGAGATGAGATGGCACAGGATGGCAGAGAGATGCTAGTACTCTGTACGTAGCCGGTCTCGCCTTCTACGGGGTCGGCGAGCGGGACGGCGCGGCCGGTGCTGCTGGTGACGGGGGCCTAGGTGCTCGTCGCGGGCGAGGCGGCTTGTTGTAGAAAGCGTTCCCCCGGAAGGCAATCCTGGGATGCGGCATGTCTGAGCCCTCTACAAGGACGTCGGCCTTGCCGCCGCGGTCACCGCGCTGCGAACCTGCGACGATGTCGCGCAACTCGCACCCGTGACAACAAGCCTGGTCAAGGGTGCGCGGGCCGAGCGAGGGGCGCTTGAGCGCGACGCCTGGCAAGCGTGCGCAGGTTGCGACTGGGCGCGTGGTGGCGTGAGTACTGGCGCGCGGCTGTTCCCCGCACGCGCAGGCGCGGCATGCCTACCCCTACGCCCCAGGCGGGCAAGGTTGCCTCCTAGCTCGGGTCATGAGGTGGCACCACCAGCTTGCTCGAATGACCTGATGGGCGGGCTCGGGCGCCGGCGTGTGCTAGCCTGCCATGGTGGCTGTCCAGACAAGCAAAACTGCCCTGCAATACCAGCCAGGGGGTTTTCTAACTGGCTTGGCAAACTTTAAGGTGCTAAATACATGGTTTTGTAGATAGGGGGGTTAAGTAGACACCCAATGATACGTGAGGGGGTCATTTAGACTTTTTCCGTAGGAAAAATAGACATCATGCAGGTACTACTACGGGTGGATGATTCTACAAAGAGCAGATATTATAAGGAGCTCTCAGCTTAAGAGGTGCTCTCAGCTTGAGAGGATATGAGGGTTATTCAGCCTGTTCGGCAGGCCGTAAACGATCGTGGACTATTTACTGCTGGCTGGTTTGGTATGAGAGAAAAATATTGTTCCAGCTTATAATCCACGATCGTATACGAGCAAGCGAACAGGCTGATTATCTGTCCGCGGAGCAAGACATCAGCACCCTACTCTTCATTTGCAAAGATTAAAACATTTTCAGGCAACTAAGTAACTGAAATGACAAATATATAAAAAACAAGGGTGAATAAGATGAGAAGACTGAAACCGATGAAGCCTAGTTGCCAACACACGATATGAATTATGATCTTCTATCATCATAACTTACCCCAGAACTGTGTGAAGATCCGGAAGAAAAAGCTTATATTACGGGATACACTGTATGCCATTACAGGAGGGAGAGGTTTGACAAGTGTGTCCACACTAAAAACTTTCTTCAGAAACTGCAAAATATCCAGTTTAATGTCAAATAATTGAGCAAAAATTGTGCTAATCAAGAACTAAATTTGCTATAGAATAGATCCATTAAAAGAAGTCCAGGTTCGGTGTCCTGAGCCAAATAAAAGAATCATAGGGGATCTAGTGGTAGGATAGGGGACAGAGGACCATGTCATAGAAAGCAGTGGCATGATGTACCGGACAAGTGGCGACCTTGTGCTATCAATCTAGTTTGGTTTCTAGTGCATAAACTGTGTTGAATGACTTTCAGGTCCTTATTCTGTTCAGGGCTTTTGCTCAATCCACGTGTGTAAGAGCACACATGGACTGAGAAGAAATTGAAATTGTTGGGCTTGCGAAAACAGCATTCATGATTTGAGGCTCTGATGGTGGGATGGTGCAAGTAGCAAAGGTGATTGGAAGCAGCTGTAATGAACAGATCAGTATAAACGTGTGGTGTTTAACTGCAATCCATACCCTGCAGTAGTGGTGTTCCCTGGTGCATTACGGGACACTGCTTTTTCATTAACATGTATGGTTACTTCAGCAGCTGTAAATGCTATTATGAAGAATCTAGTGCACTTTCCCCATTCATTTGTTACGGTTAGCACCATGGCGGTAAAATCAGCATAATCCTATCCTTCAGCAACTGCAATTTACAAACTGCCAATGCTGTTCTCGGTTACCCGGTACATTTTCTAATTCGTTTTTTGAGCCAATGTAATCCAATATCCAAAAACACACAGAACACCGGTGCATTCCTACACCCGGGCATTCTGAACTTGGCAGCTGTTCCAGGGACAGGGTAACAATCCCAGAGGGGGCCTAAGGAAGCTAACAATCCGTCGGGCACCACCCCGCACGCGCGCGCGCATGAGCAAGACACCGAGCAGGAGCTGGGGAAATCATTGAGAACCAAAAAAAAAAAGCGATGGTCGGGTGGGCGTATACGGTACCCTGCTGTTCCGCTGGAAGGAGTAGCGCAGCTCGGGGTCGATCTCGTCCTCCTCGAAGTCGTCGACGGTGAATTCGAGGTCCGGGCGCCTGCTCCGGGGCACGCTCATGGTGGGCGTCTCCCCGGGGTTGCTGGTGACGCTGACCTTCCCCTCGCGGCTCATCCTTGCCGCGTCCTCGTCCTCCGCGGCCTCCCCCGTCCGCCACGGCGCCGAAGACAGCAGCTCCTTCCGCTTCCGCCCCATCCTCGCCGCCTCTCTCAGTCCTCTCCCCTCGTGGTCTGCCTTGGCTTTCGCCTGCCTTCGGGAGGACGGGAGGTGGAAGAAGATGAGATGAGACGATGAGGTTGGCGGCTGGTGGGCCGGGGCGGACGTGGGCTTCAATGGGCTGGGTCGTCCGAGATGTGACCTGGTCCAAACGGCCCAGTTCGGCCCACTTCTCCTGATATGGCCTTCGTCTTATCCACGTGCGCCCGTCTCGTTCCTCCCCTTTTGGCCAGCCATCACCACCCCCAGTCCCCCACCACTCCACCCGCCCGCGCCACCGTCCACCAGCTCGCATGGCGCTCCACGCCGTCTCTCCCGCGGCGGTCTCCTCCCCGCTGCGCGCCCTCTCGCGCAGCCTCCCCCAGCGCCCAGGTCCGCCCCTCCTCCTCCTCCCCCGCTCCGCCTCCCGGATTGCGCGGAGTAGTTTCGGCAATGAGCCGAACACTGGAACGTTATTAGACACTAAATCCTCCAGCTAGGTTATTTGCTTGCCTGCCATTCGCGCTGCACGAACAGAATTCCTACTCGCGTTTGATAATATATGCAGTTCCGTCTGCTTTGGGGATGATGCCGTCGAGTAGTTGGCACTTGTTAAGGTGTTTCTGGGACAATGATGCCATACACTTGTTAAGGTGTTTCTTGTGAAACATGACGCTCATCAAATTTGTTGTAGACAGTAGTTCTCCCTAAATGTGCTCAGCTGTGGTCTACAGAGGATAGTATTGCACTACTCGATTCTCATGTACTATGGGTGTTCAGTAATTCAGTTAACAGTGTTTGCCGTGAAAATCAATAATGTGGCAAACTCTTTACAGCAGATGTCCTACTTTACAGGCTGTGGTTGTTTACCAAAGCAACCCGTCGTGATTTACTCCTCCACAAACTTTGCGAGACTTCAGGCTGGACCAGTGGACTTCGCTGGCAGGCCTCTGGTTCTTGGACGCTCAGACAAGAGGCGAGTGGTTACAGATATAGACATTTATCCCGTATTATTATGGACCATCAGATTAGTCTTCATTAGCTTGTGATTCTCATGTTATCAGAGCAGTTTTGACGCATGCCACTATTGAAGAAATTGAAGCAGAGAAATCCCTCATCGAAGACCAAGCTGTATGTAACAGTGTACTCTGTATTGGGAAGGCACATTTGCCTGGTCAGGTTTTTACCTCTCGTTTTGACTGCTGGTATGTGTCTTCAGAAAGAAAAGATGGAGAAGGCAATCGAAACAGTCCAAACTAACTTCAACACTGTGAGGACAGGCGTGCAAACCCGACCATGCTTGACCGGATTGAGGTTTGAGGACTCAAATCCTTGTTCTTTTTGCTCTTATGATGAAGTTCTAACTGTTGCATGATCAAATATATTCCCCTTTGTTGAACACACATCTTCACTTTTCCATTCTGCATGCATGTAATGTAACTAACTAACTATTTTGTTTGATTTCCTGCTTAGCTGAAACCGTGTACAATATAGCATTTGTCATAGCTCAGTAACTGTCGATATAAAATCCTGATCTTATTTTAGCAAAGCAAAATTTTGTGGCTGATACTATATAGCACAGAGACTAATGGAAACGATTGTACTGTTCTATTCAACTAAGATTATATAAATGTTTCTTACAGGTTGAGTACTACGGAACTCCAGTGAACTTGAAGAGCATTGCACAGATAAGCACTCCAGATGCAACTTCTCTTCTTATTCAACCATATGATAAGTCAAGGTAAGCTTATACCAATTAACCTTCCCAGTGCAGAGCCACTGTTGAGTTTTTCATCCTATGTAATTAATCACACCCATGTACTGTGCAGCCTTAAGCTTATTGAGAAAACAATAGTTGCTGCAAATCTTGGTGTGACACCAAGCAATGACGGAGAAGTGATACGAGTGACTGTCCCACCATTGACATCTGATCGCAGAAAGGTTTGTGTTTGTAATAAATTCATATGTGCATTACATTTTGTCACTTGTTATGTTGTCAGGAAATCTTTTCATCAACCTTTAGAATGGTAACGCTGTGGAAACCAAAATATATGCAGGTGACCATACAAATTGCGGATTCATTAAAACCCCAGAATTTACAAGTGTTACCATATATTCCATATTTCTCAAGACTACAGTGTGTTGAAATAACTGCAGAAGCCATCACTTATATATGTAAAACTGGTTAACAAAGAAATATATTTTGCTTTCGATAATAGAATTAAAGTCATTATGATCATTCTAGTAGGAGTCATTTAGTAACTTGTATATTTTCTCGAACCGTCTAGTAACTTGTATCTGAAACCACTAGACGCTTATCTACAAAATCTACAGCTAAAACCTATTTTGTTCATATTGAATGGTTTCTAAATCTTGTGGGGTCACACCAGCACCTTTACTGATAAATTTGACCAGTCCAATATAGAATTAGTCTGGTGTCCTGGCCCTGGCCTTCAGGCCTGGCTAGGTTTGGAAAAGAAAGGAAAAGAAAGACTCGGTGACCAACTAGGCCTGGCATACAACACAGTAGGGCCTACTGTCCATGGTCCGGCATGGATTTTGTTGTTTTGTTCATGCTAGATTAGTATTCAAATGGTTAACGTCTTTTTCTTCGTCAAATAAGTTGTAAACATTTTATGTCTTCGCTGATTCTTAAATCATTAGCACTTTGGTACCCTTCTGAAATTATTGATGTTTCTGCAGGAATTAGCAAAGACAGTAGCTAAATTAGCTGAAGATGGCAAGGTATTACCCCAAATTTTTTTGTTCACCTTTCTCACTATGTTTTCGGTTCCAATATTACCTTTTTATCTTCTTAATTGGACATTCTTTTTTCTAACTGTTCCTAGTTTCTACCCATAAAATATCACTTTGTTATCATATTCTGTTTGGACTATGATGAATATGGTATCAATGAATTATCTTTTACAGGTTGCTATAAGGAACATAAGAAGAGATGCAATCAAAGCTTATGATAAACTACAGAAGGTTGCTCTTCTCATTTGTCACTTGTCTATGTGAGCTGTTGTAGCTTTGTAATAAAACTCATAATCTCATATACTGCACTTGCTTATGTAGGAAAAGAAGCTTTCTGAAGATAATGTGAAAGATTTATCAGCTGATCTACAAGTGAGGATGCTTTTTCTGACTTTTCTTCCTATAGTTGCACATAGATTCCCAAGGATATGTTCATGTCCCTTTGGAAAGATTTACTGTTAGGTCCAGCGGGAGTTAACTTTCTTGTACAAATTCTGCAGAAAGTCACAGATGAGTACATGAAAAAGATCGATTCCATCCAGAAGCAGAAGGAACAGGTACTTTTCGATCTATCTGTTGACCTTTTGTCTAACAAGACGTACTGTTTGCTGGTTCTATGCTCTAATCTGAAGGAAGATAATCGGCATATATCGAATTAAACTTCTGAATAAAATAAGTACACATGATGCTGGAACAAGAACTTGCAGCGTTCTTGAGTTAACCGTTAAAGAGTCTCAGAAAGTTAATCAGAACTATCTAAATCTTTTCAGGAGCTGATGAAAATTTAGATCTCAAGCTGAGTATGACCGGTGAGTAACCGCCTCTGTGAAGCATGAACGAACCCCTGCATATGTTCTTGAATTCAGAACGCAGTAATGGTTTTGCGGCCAATTTTTTCTGAAGCAATTTGTTCTGTTCATAGTTGGCAGCTTGGCGCTGTGCCAGGGATGCACGTTTTGGGTCAGGTGCTTTGCTGGAACTTTTGGATGCACACAAGTTGAGACAATGCTGCTGTGTGTGCTTCTCGTTTTTGTAATGTTCGTAAATAGGTTCTCTCCGTGTTGTCTGACTGCTACATTGTCGATATTTCTCACCGTCTGAATCGAATGTCTGAATTGTTTCTGCCGACTCTCTTGAGTCTGTTGTCAAAACTCTGCTGAGGTTCAAAGCAATTTTGCAGGTCAAAACTCCGCTGAGGCTCAAAGCAAATTTTCAGGGGCATTGCGGTGACGTTGAGTCACTGACAAGTAGGGCCTATGATGTAACGTTATGCTGAGTCACTGACATGTCAGGAACTGAGGATACGATAGGATCCTCTCGCAATTTTGCACCAGCACGTGTACACATGGCACATTGGAGTTTGGGAAGGATCAAGCAGAGAGTACGTGGGCTTTTATGGGCTTGATGGTCGATTGAATTGCGACCCAGAATGTCCTTATCGCCTTTGGTGGGCCGCTGCTTTGGTTTTGATGGACCACTCTTTTCTTTCTCTGCCCTTTGATCTTGTGCGTGAATTATACTGTCTTAAATATCATTGCATCGTATTCGTCGACGTCGTGTTCGAAAAATAAAATCATTTCTTTGTGTTCTGTCCCCCCCCGGACTTTTGTAGTGCAAAATATTCCTCCTCGGTTTCCCCGGACTTTTGTAGCCATAGTACTGCCTTCATTTTTCTTTACAAGGCATATTTCATTTCGTTGGAATGACGTTTTGACCAAAACATTACTCTATTGATATTTTATTGACGCGGTAGAAAATTGTAGTTATAGGCAAGTAATTTGCAACAAAAATATAACAATATCAATTCCGTGCAACAAAAGTTATGCATTGGTGTACTAATTGATGGTGAAAGGTTCCTCGTAGGGCATGTTTGGATCCATTTGCGCTACTCCTAATTATTAGTGGCTAAAATTAGCGCTAGTAGATCAAACACCCGCTAATAGTCCAACCAATAGTTCAAAATGAACTACCTAGCTAATAAAAAGTTATCAGTTAGCTTTTTTCTGCTAGCATCTACTAATAGCTATTAGTCCTAATAGAGCCGAACAGACTCAATGAAATGTCTAGTATCTTGTTTGTGATCAGCAGCCTAGACTACTCTAGAGGTGCTGGTTTGTTCCTTCCCTTTACGAAGGTGAGACTTTGGGTCAACGAACGCATGTGCACGGGACGTGGTAGGTTGAGGAAATGATGTATGGTTAGTTGGTGGTGACGATGATGATAGCAATTTTGTTAGGTCACCACCACGGCATTTATTTGCTACGACCATTGAGACAACAAGGAAAATACGACGGCCGCTTGGAGAAAGGAATTGAAAAAACCGTAGTTCCAGTCCAGAGGAGTATTATCTGAAATACTTTGGTTTTAAAGTGCCTGAAGTGTTTGGATGTAATAAATTTTATGGTTTTAAAAGCAACGATGTTGCTAAAACTATATGTTCTAAAATGTAGTTTCTTGATACGACGGTTTCTAAATGCTACTCAGCCTGGGCATTTTTTTACCGGAAACCGAAAACCGAACCGAACCGAACCGAAACCGAACCGAATAGTCGGTAGTTCGGTTTTTCGGTTCGGTTTCGGTTTTCAGTTCTGTGAAGTTCGGTGTTCGGCTTCGGTTTCGGTTTCTACGACATACCGAACCGAAGTACCGAAAAACCGAACTAAAAGTGTGCTGTAACCTGTTTTTTTCCTGTTGTACCAAGAAACCGAACTAAATACCGAAAAACCAAACTTAAAATGTGTTGTAACCTGTTTTTTTTTCCTGTTGTACCGAGAAACCGAACTAAAAAACCGAAGTTTGTACTGTCAATTGTAAATCTTGTCTGATATTTTTTTGCATCGGTTTATTCGGTTTTAACCGAAAAACCGAACTAAAAAACCGAACCGAAATTGGTCGGTTTTTGAAATTTTAGCAAACCGATCGGGGGTCATTTTCTGGAAACCGAATTTTTGAAAAACCGAACAAACCGAACCGAACCGTCGGTAAAAACCGAACGCCCAGGCTGAAATGCTACAACACCCAAACATGACCTAATCCTTCTAGGTTTAGAAGTTTTTGAAACGCCGCTTTTATTTTTGAAACACAGTATAGGTGTGGATGTCACACACTTACCTCTTTAAATTAGGGTACCATGAATAGGAGCCTTGATGTGTTCTGGACAAAAAAAAATAGTGCACCATACATAATCTATCTTTATGAGCACCCCTGAGAGACTAACCACACATATCTTCAAATTGGCAAAATTGTCATGTGCATATCTTCTACAATCACTAATATGTGGTGTCATTTCTCGTTGCAATAAATTCAGTAAATTATAAGTTTTTTAGATAATGGACCCAGGTTCCGGCTGCTACACCACCTGAAGGTATATGAAGCCATAATCATCGTGCACTTAGGCTCATAGAACATCGAAAAAATCCAGACACAGAGAGACAAAGACACAATATAAATAGAAAAAAACTGAGACTAGTTTACAATTCTATTCCTAAACCTTCATCCAAACTTGGCAAACACCTCCATGATTACAGTCTCCAAAAGTCCACAACCAACCTTTTAAACTCACTCTTTCTTCTTCTGTATGTAGCAAGGACCACCACCTGATCCAATAAGTTGCCCTAAAAATTACTTGCAAAAAGGAGTTTGATTTAACATTCATGAACGCCATACCCAGAGGCGTAACCAGGGGGCTAGCAGGGGCCGTGCCCCCCCCCCAACACAGTAAAAATTTGTTAAATATTCCTATAAAGTTTGTTAATTTATAGCACAAAAATGCGACAATTCATCTATTTTTAATCATAATATTGTGAAATTACGACAATTCATCATTTTTTCGTTATGAATATTAACTACACATGTAGAAGCACTTAAAAAGTAGTTGAAATATACACTTATGTGTGTCATCGTATTTGTCCCGCCCCCCTTAATCAAAGTTGCTGGTTCCGCCTCTGGCCATACCATTTCTATTCTACCAAAATGTCCAACATAGGGCCTCAACACCTAATAAAATTTGGTTTTTGAGCAACGGCGAAACACCATTGAAAAGGAAATTACAAGTTAACATGCCAAGCCTAGGAGTTACTTCAGTTGGACAGATCTCACAGTGAGCCAGTGAGGAATCTATCTGAGTAGTATCTATCTAACCAACCGAGGTACACTCGAGCCTCGTAATATCCACCATCTTTTAGTTTTATGGAACAGTCTATATAGATGGATGCAAACACATGGGTGCTAGGTAGCTATCCATTGTTGTGCAAGCAATACTCCACAAAAATTTGTCATGACCAAATTTTATTTTTATTTATTTGAAGCATGCACATCGGCGGAAAGGGTAAGTTGCAGGCCTGCAGGAGCGGCTGTCTTGGCGTTGCTTCCTTGTCACCATGGTGTCTGTCTGTCTGCTTGGAATCAGTCTCCCTAATAACAAAGCTAAGATAGCTGCAGTGTAACTGGCCTGACGTCTCTCCCTCCGAAAGCAACGACTTAACTGACCTGACCATGCGTCTGCTTCCCACGTTGGTGAGAAAATTAGGCATCATTTCATAGGATGCAATCGTTGCTAGCTTTTGTTAATCCACCATCCCTTCTCATGGCGCTGTATCTAACGTACGTGTGGTGGTTCCTTTCCGGCAATCACAAGGAGTTGTTTCGAAGCACAAGCAAAGACATTGCAACTGCCAAAAAGAAGACAAAAAGAAGAAGAAAGAAGGCAAAAATATTTCTTGTGTTTGTTCGTCCGTGCATGCATTATTTGAGTGTATCAGATATGCATGGTTGCTTGCAAGGTATAGTCAGTTCCCAAGACTAGTCATGAAACTTGAAAGACCGTACAGTGGTACGCAAAACGCGTTACGGCGATATGGATAGGGAAAATAGTAGCTAATTAACTTTTTTTAGCCCATATATAAAGTATGCACTCAATCATCCATTATCACGGCACGATGGAACGAATTAAGATATAAATCGATTTAACTCTAAGAATTGATTTATTCAGCTATGCAGCGAGCTAGTATCTATATTCTTTCCTACAAAATTATTAACTTTAATTACCCATGCACTGCATCTAAATTTCAACCCAACGAATAATGCATACTACCTCCGTCCACAAAATAAAAACACAATCTAGCTTTGAACCTTTGTCCGGGTTCAAAGCTAGAATTGCATTTTTTTTACACGGAGTGAGGATAGTACCAGTATATATCTATCTTCACTGTGCCGTACACATATAGAGCTTGCTTTTGACTGATTCTCCTCTCTCTCTCTATCTAACAGTGGTTGCATGGCTTCTCCAATCTTTTTCCAGTGGAAATCTACAAGAGGCCGACACCTTGACGTTGCTATCGGTATCAACCTAGTGACAGGCTGACAGCACCTCAGGAGCAAACGAGGAAGGAACGAATGCAGTGCGTGTCTGCCCACATGCACCGTCATTATTCTTTTTTTTTTCCTTCAATCAAAAAAAGTGAGGGGAATGCACTGCTATTATTATTATTTAAATTAAGAGGAATAATGCACCATTATTGGTGCGCTGCATATATGCGTCATGTTCGTTTGGCTTATAAGCCGTACTTTTTCAGCCAACGAACAATATTTTTCCTCTCACAACAAATCAGCTAACAGTACTTTTAGTCATGGCTTATCAGCCAAGCGAACAGGACAATGCTCATGGGAAAACGTTTGCTACTTGAGATTATTGACCACCTCAGCTGCTGGGCCCCACCTCATCATCTCTAGCTCAGCCTAAATATATGAGTTGTCAGTCGCTAATGAAAAAAAGATTATGGAGTTACTAAAAAGATCAATTCAAACTTTTAATCAATGCTAGATTAAATTGGAACAATAATCGTTGATTTTATTCTATTCTTTTTTTTTTTGCATGACGCCAATTTCCTTTTTCTCTTGCTCATGTCATGAATGCCTTGCAAGTTGCAAATATGTCCCGTCCATCCAATCCAACTCTCCACCACCATTCCTTGTCAAACGCTATCCATCCATCCATAGTTCAAGACGCGTACTCTTTTTGCATTTGCATATAGAAGTAGTAGACCTTTGACCTTTTTTCTCTCCTAGTAGAAAAATCTTAGGTGCTAAGGGTTTGACAAACAAACCCATAAGCCATCAAAGTTGACACAGCTAAGCAATTAGATTGAATGCCACATTTTTAAAATTTTCTCTGTCCTAAAAATGAATATTTCCCCCAAATCTATCCAAAGTTCCAAACCTTGCATTTGAATTCAAAATCTTTCATGCTGCTGGCTACAGTTTATCTACTCTACTCCCCTTACTCTCTCTAGAAAAATATATGTTTCTCTCCTCTCTTTTTTTTTTCACCAACCAACGTAATTGTCTGCATAAATAAAGGAGAGGGGGGGGGCGGCGGGGGGCGGAATAAAACACCCGAACAAAAAGGAAATCGACCAACTGACCGAGTGCTTGCGAAAAACCAAACAGAAGAAGGACCAAAGCAAAAGGCCATCACTGACGGCAAGAGACAGAGAGAGGAGGGAGATCTCCCGAGGGCCGACGTCTCGCGATTTCCGGCGGCAAGGTTCGGTTTTGATCCCAACCCCAGGCTCCCCACCCCCGATTCGCCTGCCGCTTCCGGCGTAGCAAACCAACCGGAGGAAAAGAACCCGATTTTTCTTTTTCTCCAGTTGCAGTTCGTGGTGAGCGCCGCCCGCCGCCGCCTCCGTATCGCACGGTTCCGATTCGGCAGCTGCTGGGGTGAGGGGGGGAGCGCGTGCGGTGGGATTCCCGTTCGGATCTGCGGAGGGGGGCAAGCTTTCCTTCTCCAATTCGGTCGGCCAGCAACGAGGGTCCTTGAATCTTGTTGATGCGCGCGGCCAGATGCGGGAGGCGTACTGGGAGAAGGTTTCTTGAAATCGTCGTCTGGGCTTCGTTCAGGAGTGAGGTCCCGCGCCGGGATCACCCTGTCGTCCTATGGGCTGTGTCAGTTCCAAGCAATTCCACGGTGGGGACGACCATGGGGACGGCAAGCCGCGCCGGCGGCCCTCGAGCAACTCGCTGAAGCGCCTGGTTAGTTACAGTTCCAGCAAGAGGCATGAGGACTTGGAAGAGGAGGATGAGGAAGGGGTGCCTGTGCCAGCCACGTCCTCAAGCGCCACACGCCGCGCCGGGAACGATGCCAGCATGGCGAGGCTGATCCGGAAGCCTCCAGCACTGGTGGTTGAGGCTGTGCCGGCATTGCCGGAGGAGGCAGCCACTTTGGCGGTTGGTGCAGTTGATGCAGAAAGGGCGGTTGCTGCAACGACTGGGAATCGGAAGCGTCCTCCAGTGGATGTACAAGTCAATGGTGCGGCGGAGCAAGAGCCGAGGAGCGGTGGTGGTGGTGGTAGGACGGAGGGGGAGGCCAAACCAAGGATCAGGGATGTGCCCAATGGCGTCCAGGGGGAGCATGTGGCGGCAGGGTGGCCAAGATGGCTCACAGAGGTCGCGGCAGAGGCGGTTCGTGGGTGGCAACCTCGGAGGGCCGAGTCTTTCGAGAAGTTGGACAAGGTTTGTCGTTATTATGGCCATTATTTTTGTGATAAATTTATCTTCCTTGCTACCTTTTCCATTGGCTATCTTCTGAATCATAATTATGAGTTATTGCCTATTGTGCATAACTGTTTTTAGGTTGTTTATGGCTTATGATATTTTGATAGGTGTTGGACAAAACATGTTTATAGGGTTCATAGAATTTTTGAAGTGTCAATCTTGAGGGTTGGAACTAGTTATAAAGAAAACAAATTGCAACATTAGAAATATAGGCTTATGATATTTTTGTATGTTTATTTTGTACCACCTGGTCATTCTATTCCATTTCTGGCATAAAATGCATTACTAGCTCCAAAGTCTAGACAGACTAACACAGTGCACAAAGTAGAAAAACAAAGCATCCGCCATCTTTGATCAATGCTGCTCCTACTACATGACAACTAAATTATCACATTTAATACAGCCGCTTTATACTTTTTGTAACAGAATGCAACATTACGGAATAAGTTCCTGTTTACAATTTGAACTAGTATCGAGCCACTGATCCTATGTGACCTTACTTTTCTCGTTTCATCTTTAAATATTTCAGGTAGGACAAGGTACATATAGCAGCGTTTATAAAGCACGTGATCTTGAGAACGGAAAAATTGTGGCTCTGAAGAAAGTTCGGTTTGCCAATATGGACCCTGAGAGTGTCCGATTTATGGCAAGGGAAATTCACATCTTAAGAAGGCTAGATCATCCAAATGTTATCAAACTTGAAGGTTTGGTGACGTCACGCATGTCAAGCAGCTTGTATCTTGTATTCGAATACATGGAGCACGACCTTGCAGGACTTGCAGCTACACCTGGCTTAAAATTCTCAGAACCTCAGGTTTACCCTCTAGATTTCTCCTTTGGCTTTCCATTTGTATTGAGGTTTAAGTTCTCACTTCGAAAATTGGTCATTTCAGGTCAAGTGTTACATGCAACAGCTACTTTCTGGACTTGACCATTGTCATAACCGTGGTGTTTTGCATCGGGATATAAAGGGTGCAAATCTCCTACTTGACAATAATGGCATTCTTAAAATAGCAGATTTTGGTCTAGCTACATTCTTTAATCCCAACCAAAAACAACATTTGACAAGTCGTGTAGTAACATTATGGTACCGGCCTCCTGAGCTTTTGTTGGGTGCTACTAACTACGGTGCTGCTGTTGATCTATGGAGCGCCGGTTGCATTCTTGCTGAGTTGCTATCAGGGAAGCCTATCATGCCAGGACGAACTGAGGTACTGTTTGGCTATTCCTGCTGTGATCAAACTTTCAGATGGTTGCATTATAGGAATAATGCAGTATTCTCTGCCTGCCATAACCTAAACAATGCTATAATATTCTGCAAATCTGTCATTTCTTTTATTACACTATCTGTTAGAACAAATCTGGTGCATAAAAGGTTTAGAGATGAATGCGAGTGAGTTCTTTTGAGTACTAGGGTATTTTCAGTTAAGAATCTAAAAATGTCAAGGAAAATGATATGATCTTTAGCTCAAGATGCCTGTAGTTTATGCACTAAGACATCATTAGTGTTTTAATATGTGTATCTGACAACATATTCTTATCATTAACATGCATAAAGGTTGAGTGGCAATAGGCCTATTTTTACTTCCGCATGGACCAATACTTGTTTGAAGTAAATAATATTATCTGTACCTTTTTATCTTCATGATAAATGGTTAATTTATTTGTCATACATCCTCGTAGTTTTAGATGAACATCAATATGAATGTACAATGGTCTGTTCTTTTGTGTTCACTCATACAGGTGGAACAGTTGCACAAGATTTTTAAGCTTTGTGGTTCACCATCAGAGGAGTTTTGGGCTAATTTGAAGTTATCCCGAGCTACCATATTCAAGCCTCAGCATCCGTATCGCCGATGTGTGAATGATGTATATAAGGACTTCCCTACTACTGCTTTAACACTTCTGGACCATCTACTTGCCGTAGAACCTGGGAATAGGGGTACCACTGCATCTGCCCTTGACAGTGAAGTAAGTACTGGCCCTTACATTTGTTGATCTGCATGTCTTGGTCGTGCGTGCTAAATTGGCCCTTCCATTTCTTGATCTGCATGTTTGGTGTATTGCTTGCACTAAGTTATCAAACTGCAACGCATAGCGTACTTCTGCAGTGTTTACCCTGTTGGTCTAACTCCCCCCCTGTATTTATAGCTAAACGTGGACTTTGGCATTGTCATAATTTCTTTCAACTTTTTTCTGTGATTTTTCTTTCTTGTTTTTCTCTAAGTTGCAGCCTTGGGCCCTAGGGGTTCTTTCTCTTGTTTCTGTTGCCAGAAATGACTTTTACTCTTAAACATTTGGACATGCATATGAGATGCTAAAACTGCTCCTAGCCTCCTAGGTTTATGTGTTTCTTACATCCAAACATTGGTATGGATCTGGTTGTTCAATCCAGAAATACAAGTTTAGTGATATTGCTGTTAATTTGTTGTTTTCTTTATAGTTCTTTACAACAAAGCCTTATGCCTGCGATCCATCAAGTCTACCCAAATATCCCCCAAGCAAGGAATACGATGCTAAGCTTCGAGATGAAGAAGCTAGGAGGTGATTCCCTCTCAGAAACCATGACATGCTAAGAATCTACATTACCAATCTTCTGTTCTCGACATTTCGTATTCAATCCAAGCGCATGGCTTCTTTATAGGCAAAGAGCAGCTGCTAAAGGACAGGAAGCTGAAGCCGGACGGAGGAAGCAACTTCCTGCACCCGATGGCAATAATGGATTGCAGGTACTGGAATTCACTTGAAATATCAAGGTCTTTTACGTTCTTGTTCTTTTTTTGCTGGTGCCAAAATGGTAACAGCATTTGGCTTTCGAAATATTGCTGGGAGATTATTGAATTATCGAAGTACCACATGTTAGGAGTTCCGTGAATCTTACTGAACACATGATTCATTACTGTAATTAGCAGTCTACATAACCATCCAAGTATTCGTTTGGAAGTTGGTATGGATTTGCAATGCATAGAGTCTACATATTCAGACGTGCCTGAACCGTTACTAGGGGCTCATGTTGGGTTTCCACTCTAGCCTACCCCAACTTGCTTGGGACTAAAATGCTTTGTTGTTGTGTTGTTGTTGTTGTTGTGAGAGTCTACATATTCAATTCCAGAACGAAATATACCATGTATATCAATTAATGCTGTCGTATTCTACTGTTTCTTGTTACTGAATATTTTGTGTTCCATGACTTCGCAGCACCGCCGAGTTCAGGTGAATCCCAAAAGCAGCAGTTACAAGTTCACTCCAAAGGAGGATGCTGTTTCTGGATTTCCAATCGATCCGCCAGCAAGAGCTGCAGACAATGGTTACCCTCAGCGTGTTCCTTTGATGCAAGCTGGCCGTTCTTCCTCCACTCTGGGCAGATCAAGTGGAATGGATCCAAAGGCCCAAAGATTTCACACCTCCCAAATTATTACTGCTGAGATGTCCAACCAATCTGCTGCATCTGGGCAGCGAGGCAATGCTCCTAAGATGTCTAACCTTGGGGAAAGTGCCAGGAGACAATATTTGAGAGAGCATCGGTCCAGTTCAAGATACAGTCAGCTCACTGGTGCTGACCCTTCTGATAGACCTGAATGGAATCATCAATTCCAAGAAAGACCATCATCTTCCCATCGGAAAGATGATGCTGTGGCAAACAAAGAGCCTACAGTGGTGAGTTTTGAACATCCACGGTTGTTTAAATAGATGTTTTGTCTAAATGTCTTCATAAAATAGTCTTCGGTCATAGCATATAGTACACGGTTTTATTCCTCCATTCCTATATGCTGTTGACTCTTAGAGGTTTATATAGACACTTTTGTGTCATTCTATAGAATGCTTGGAATGTGTTCGACACATGCCTGCCAAAGTGTAGGAATCAGTTTATTGGTGCGATATGATGAGAATTTTTCTCCTTGTTCAGGTGAATGGCACAAAGAAGAACAGAATCCACTATTCAGGACCATTGATGCCTCCTGGAGTGAACATGGATGAGATTCTTAGAGAGCATGAGCGACAGATCCAACAAGCGGTGCGAAGAGCCCGCCTTGACAAGGGAAAGGGAAAGCACAACGGTGAGAGAGGCCAGTCAGAGGCACTGCTGTGTACTACCGGGAATGTCAGGGCTGACCGCTAAAAAAATTCAGTTTGGTGTCGACCCCCTGAGTGGAGCAATCATCAAAAGCATAGCAAATAGCATTGAATCCTTTCTATTTTTCTGTCCCCCCTCTCAAGTGGAGAGGTTTTTTGTTTTGCCAGAAACTCCACCCCTGATGCGGTTTGGTACCCAGGAGGGCAGCTGCCAAAAGAAAACCTGTTCCTGTAGAGATTTACCGCCCCAGAGTTTAGCATAGGCAGTCTGAAATATTTTCTGAAGATTTGTTGGTTATCCATAGCCATCAATTGTATATCTCAAGAGTACTCTCCCCAAAAATGAAAATTGATCCATACACTTGTTTTGGCATATGACAAGATGAATACAAATCGAAATACAGGCCACTGCTATCCTCTGAACTCTGACGTTGTGATTCTGAATGTACTGATGCCTGTGTGATGGGTTTTATCCAGTTTGGATTTCTCTGGGCATCAAAAACCAAAGCTGGATGGTTTTATTGAAAATCATCCTGGTTTCATTGACAGGGCATCTACATGAACCTTTTTTTTACGTAACAGCATGAGCTTTGCCCTTCAATTAAGATAGAGAAAGAACTTGTGACATTTGATCTCCCGATGTCCTTTACTCTAAGAAATGCATAGTGATCTTGGAATCTGTTTGCGGCAGCAGAGTATTGCATGATTCCTGGTTCATGTTTGCCCCTGAAAATAACGTCTTCCAGACTTCCACCAAAGGGAAATCCTAGACAATCTCTTCCTGTTCAGAGCTTCTGTTTTTCTTTTCCAGGGTTTAACACGGGGAGGACAGCTCCCCAGCTGATTCATTGCGTTGACCAAAGGCTAGATATCAGCATTCAGCAGGGCATGTTGCTGGAGGTATTCTCTTGAGGTGGAGACTGGAGAGGGACAGTATGCCTCTGCTGGTGCTGGTGGTGCTCGCGCACTGCGGGCTCTCACCTGACGCCTAGAATTGACTGGTCTCGGTCTCCCGACCTTCCCTATGTTGCAAAACGTATGTTTCAAGTGTTTTAGATGTTTCAGAGGTATGTTTTAGATGAATGTTGCAATAGTAGTTTCCGGATGTTGCACATGTTGCAAGCTCTTGCACTGTCGCTGGAGCTGGTGGTGCTCGTGCGCAACACCGCTCGCCGTCGGCTACCACTCGACACCAGGAATCAACCGGCTTCGGCCTTCCCTATGTTGCAAAACGCATTTCAGAGCTATGTTTTAGATGGATGTTGCAATAGTAGTTTCTAGATGTTGCACATGTTGTAATGGTTATACATGTATCTTGCAAGAGTTTGTTCAAAATGTTTCATCTGTTTCGGATGCATGTTGCAAGTGTTTTATCTAAATGTTGCATATGTTGCAAATATATGTTCTAAATATTTTATTTGTTTCAGACATATGTTGCAATCGTTTCATCTGAGTGTTGCAAAAGTAGATCTGGATGTAGGGTTATTGAGCGAGGAAGAGAGAGCTAGCGTGGGAGCCATGGCGGCGTCGATGTGTGGGGGAGGCACGGATGGCGCGGCGCCTGTGTGGAAGAGGCGGGGGAGTCATCCGAGTGGCGTGGAAGAGGCGGGGCGAGGCACTGGTGTGGAAGAGACGGGGCCGAATCATCCAGGCGGTGTGAGCAGCAGAGCGGAAGGGAGCGGTCCAAACGCAGGCGCACGAAGCGGACCTGGCGCGGGCGACGCGCGAATCCGAACGACCAGGGCGAAGCAGGCGCGGGTGTCCGGACGTCTGGACAATGGTGTCGCCCTTCAAAAATCCTAGCCAATACTTGCTCTAGAAAGCTCGGAGACAAATGATCAAACATGAACTGCAACACGGTAATCAGAGGAGTGCATGCAGTAAAAGTTTTTTTCTCGAATAGGTTGTCTTTGTTAAGAGTTTATTCTGAGATGAGCTACAACATCATGAGAGTTAAACCCCTGGAGAGGAAGTAGGCACGATGCTCAGCTATTTGGGCACATTTTGGTGCCGCTCTAAATGGGCGTGCGAGAAGGAGTGCTTCTAGATGCCGAATAGAGGAGCTGGAGCCATTTTACACGGACGGATGTGGAGCCATATGTTTTGGTGCTTTGGCCTCCAGGCTCCGGCTCCGGCGAAGGAGCAGTGCATGCGAAGCCATGCCAAACACACACTTACACTATCTCAAAATTGCAAAATCAAACTGAAATGGATGTATATTGCACGACTACGGTAACATTTATGATAGAATGTGTATGTTTATTTATCCCCAATGTACGTTTTGATGGTTCAAGAAACAAAGCATGTTTAATCTAAACTTAAATCGAAACAATTATACATTGCACGTTTTACAGTGACCTCTGCCATGGCACCGGCTGCAGGGCTACAGAACAGTCAACTTGACTGAAGCTGGAACTTTATCTTCTATGTGTGTTCTGATAGCCAAGAGCCCCCTATCAGCTGTCGTGAAAGTGCACGTTCCATATATTTGTAGATGGCACTTATGATTACGTGTTCCGTGTACGGAAAAAAAACTCGACCTGCAAGGATAAGCCACCACGGGTATTGCTGTAAGAGAGAAGACATTCTCACACAGATTGAGAAAAATCCTAAACCCCTGTCCCATCCTGACACAGGGCACTGTTGCCCTGTGAGAATCGGTTCGGGCCTTTTGACCTGTGCTTTGACCGTGGGACAGACGAGATGATTTTTTTAACCCCAGCCTGAAATTCGCCCCCATGGGGAGTCGAACTCAGGATCTTCTCACATAGACAGAGAAAACCCCCGAACCCCTGTCCCACCCTGACACAGGGGCACCGTTGCCATGTGAGAACCGGGCCGGGCCTTTTGACTTGTGCTTTGGCCGTGGAACAGACGAGGGGATTTTTTTAACCCCAGCCTGAAATTCGTTCCCACGAGGAGTCGAACTCAGGACCTTTTCACATAAACCGAGAAAACCCCCGAACCCCCTGTCCCACCCTCACACAGGGGCACCGTTGTCCAGTGAGAACCGGACCGGGCCTTTTGACCTGTACCTTTGGCCGCGGGACATACGAGGGGATTTTTTAATCCCAGCCTGAAATTTGCTCCCACGGGAAGTCAAATTCAAGACCTGAGGAATGCCGCTGAGGCCAGCTAACCTGTTCAGTTAGGCACCCTTTGGCTGTTCAGTGTAAGACATTTAGGTGACACTGCATTCTTGAGAATATAGCACGTTAGTTCAATCAAGCTCTTCTCAGAGCTGAATTGACTGATCTTAACGCTCTTCAGGCAGCCTGTCGTTGTTCAGGCAAGTGCCTCAAATGTGAGGCATCTGCAAAAATCGATTTTTCATGCTTTATACAACATGGAGTCGCATGACGGTGAAAAGGATAATATGATTGAATTAAGTGGACCAAGAGAGGCTTCAGATATGTTTGCACAGGATGGAATGAATGAAGAGCGTCTTACATTTAATATCAAAGTCTCCAAGGAAGGAGACGCATCAAGAAAAGAAACCAGGGAGAAATAGTCATATGGCGGGAGAAAGGGCGCCGTTCCTGATGTCGATGTCAGTTGAACGGTCAGGTGCTTGAGGTAGAGGAATTTGGTAGGCAGCATTGGCGTATTGGGCACCTGCACAATGAATATGTCATGTCTCTTCATTATACACAAGATGACTAGTGTATTGTGTGCTTATCACTAGGCTACAACACCATAAATATAGATAATATACCTCAGTTGGTTTTTTTTTCTCGAATACGCAAAATATTTGCGTATCATTGTATTAAGGAGAAGAGTTTAAAGAAACATACAACGCGCTTCTATCGAGCGCCGAAGGAGGTCGACTTAACACAGCCGAAGCTGGACCATCCTAGCAATATACCTCAGTTGGTGATCCTATGACAAGGGTTTCAAGATTTGGCATAATGGAAGGCAGCTCGGTACGAGCATGATGGACAGCATTTGGACAGTCCACGTCCATCTTCTTCATTTGCAATGTTTCCCGAAGTGAGAAATTTGTGTTTCCTCTAAAGAGGAAACTGGTGAGGTTTGGAGCCTTGGTCTATTGCTGTCAGCTTGGAGCATAGACAAACACGAAGGCTGGTAAGCTGCTGCAGGGCACAAGATATCTTCAACCTTATTATATCTGAACAAAAAATGAGCTCCAACTGCTCCAAAGCAAGAGAGTTGGAAAGAAGGCATTCTAGCTCATCCCCATTGATGCTCACTACACGCAGACACAGACTTGTTAGGCTTCTCAGGGGGCCAAGTTCAGGTGCGGGATGGAGGCCACAACTATGAAGTTTAAGGTACCGAATTGAGTTCCCAATCCCATCAGATAAAAGTGAGCATGGGAAGTTGTACTCTGTCTTGGTGCGACGCAACATGAGAGTGAGTTCTTCGATCCCTGGTTTAACAGAAACCTGAAGCCAACTGTCGAGATAACGACTGATGTCATCGACTTCGCAGATGTAACTGCAATCAAGCTTGAATATTTTCACGCCAACGCCAGAGTGGTTCCTGATAATGGTGTCAATTTCACGGCAGAAGTTGACGCGACACACACTTGGCTTCAAGCCAATCATATCTTCATTGAAGATGAGATTTGGACGACCTCTCCAGGAACGTAGAAAGGCACGAGACACGCAAGCAGCACGAGCAGCTTCACGCATTGGCATTAGGCAATGTATATAGCCCAAGATATCCTGCATGCACAAAACACAGGATAAAATCTATATATGGTGGTTGTAATTTGTAAAGCTAAATTGTGATCTTCTTTATATTCTTTCTGTCCTTTTTCGTTTCTTGAATTCTGTTGCTTGGACACATCTTTGTCTTCTATTAATTAATATATATTAACCAGTAGGGGGCTACCCATCCTGTTTCCTCAATTTTTTTTGTAAAGCTAAATTCTTACTTCGACCAGAGAAACAAAGCAGTAGAATCACACAGGGTAATGGTTTCACAAGGAGTGCTGCATTACATTTAGATGGTGTAGTAGAAGCCTAGAAGGTAACCATTGTACATATAGATGCTTCCGTGTCATTCTATATAATACAATTGAGAATGGTTGCACATGAGTGTGTTCATCACATGCTGCCAAAGTATAGGAATCAGGTTATTGGTGCCATATGATGAGAATTTTTCTCCTTGTTCAGGTGAATGGCACAAAGAAGAACAGAATCCACTATTCAGGACCATTGATGCCTCCTGGAGTGAACATGGATGAGATTCTTAGAGAGCATGAGCGACAGATCCAACAAGCGGTGCGAAGAGCCCGCCTTGACAAGGGAAAGGGAAAGCACAACGGTGAGAGAGACCAGTCAGAGGCACTGCTGTATACTACCGGGAATGTCAGGGCTGATCGCTAAAAAGTTCAGTTTGGTGTCGACCCTGATTTGAGCTGTCATCAAAAGCATAGAAAATAGCATTGAATCCCTTCTATTTTTCCGTTCCCCCCTCAAGTGGAGAGGTTTTTGTTTTGCCAGAAACTCCACTCCTGATGCGGTTTGGTACCCAGGAGACAGCTGCCAAAAGAAAACCTGTTCCTGTAGAGATTTACTGCCCCAGAGTTTAGCATAGGCTGTCTGAAATATTTTCTGAAGATTTGTTGGTTATCAATAGTCGTCAATTGTATATCTCAAGAGTACTCTCCCCAAAAATGAAAATTGATCCATACACTTGTTTTGGCATATGACAAGATGAATACAGATCAAAATACAGGCCACTGCTATCCTCTGACGTTGTGATTCTGAATGTACTGATGCCTGAGTGATGTGTTTTATCCAGTTTAGATTCCTTTGAGCATCGAAAAACCAAAGATGGATGGTTTTCTTGAAAAACACAGATCTTCAAAACCAAAGGCCATAGGAAACAGGATTTGACATTTGGTTGGTTCAACCACTAGTTGCGACAAAAACAAAAGCTGGATGGTTTTCTTGAGAATCATCCTGGTTTCATTGAAAGGGCATCTACATGCACTTGTCACATTGCATCTGTCGCTGCTCTTATTCTAGCAATGCGTAGTGATCTTGGAATCAGTGTGCGGCAACATAGTACATTTATTGAATCATTCATGTTCATGTTTGCCCCTGAAAATAACATCTTCCACCAAAGGGAAATTAATCCTAGCCAATCTCTACTTGTTTAGGAGTTCTGTTTTTTTTTCAGGGTTTAACGGTAGCGAGGAGGACAGCTCCCAGACATCAGCATGTCAGAGGGACCGTATGCTGCTGGAGGTATTGTTGAGCTCAAGCTGGAGTGGGATGTGCTTGTTGCAAACCACATGGTCCGACTTGACAGGCGTCAGATCAACGATGTTCTTTCGCCGAAGATTGTTCTGAAACGAAAAACCCATTGCTGTATGGGCAGTACACAGCCAGCCGAAGAACTGAACTCCATCCTGTGGTGCTGCTGGAGCGCAGTTTCTCCACAGTCCACACGAAGTGGGAAAAGGGGCACTGATGTTGAAATTACCCGGCAGTTGTTTGCCGGCCATCGTCCCAAGTTCCCAACTGCCGGTCAGGCTCGCAAGACCCGTTTCTGGACGCACGGTGAAGGGCAGGCCGAGGTATCTGCGGGAAATTCCCATCCGTGCATGCATCCAAGGATTCCCAGGAATTGTTAAAGCAAAAGATCTCACAACTCAAATTAGCTTAGTAGCCAATACACATCGTCACATCGGGGAACACCACTGTGCTGTAATAGGCCACATCATCATGGTTAGACGAACAGACGAACAAACAAGTTATTAGGTGATAAAAAACATGAACATGGATAATCTTTCCATTTTATTAGTCTATATTTTTATTGTGCAAATTGTTCTGCCAACGAAAACCTTGATAAAAAAATGGACATGTGCATAGAGTGAGTATGCGTGCGTTGTGTGTGTCTGAGTTATACGGTGAAATTAGAGAATTATAAGCCTATGTTCCTCCAGCCGTGTTCTTTCAATGTGAAGTGACCGTGACGCCTAAGAGGAGAAGGGGATCAATTAACTTGAAAATTATTTCTAAAACTATGGCACCTAATTTTCACTTAGTCAAAACCTATGCAATATGAACTAGATGTTTTTTTTTGAAACGACGGGCAGGAGTTCTGCCCGGCATATATTAATAGAGACGAATAAGTTCAAACATGAAATAGAAGTTCCAAATTAGAGTAAAAACCATAAAGTCAAAAAGCTCCGCTTAGAGGACTACTCTCGAGATAATCTCCTTGAGCCTCTTGGCTCCCGCAAGGCACTAGGTCCTCGCTTCCTCCTTGATTTTCGCAATTAGGCTTTCCGGAGTGGAATGGTGTCGTTGAAAAATCCTAGCATTGCGTTTCTTCCAGAGCTCCCAAGTCACCAGGATTGTCAAGGACCGAATGGCTTTAATAGGCATACCCTCAGCCTTTCCGACTGCACGCCACCAAATGGACACAGATTCAAAGGAAGCCTAGCCTGAAGGGTCCGGGAACTGTCCCTCGGTCCAAGTCCTTACTGCAGACCAAACTCGTTGGCTGTATTGACAATGTGCAAGCAAGTGTACTATTGATTCATCCGTGCTATGACAAAGAGGACATAAACGTTGGTTTGGCCATCCTCTTCTAGCCAAGCGATCTGCTCTCCAAAGGCGATCTTGGACAGACAACCAAGCAAAAAACTTGCACTTTGCTGGTGCCCAGGAGCCAGGACTTCCAAATTAGAGTATCTAGTTCGGTGTTTATCGAGCCATGAAATTGCACCATGTAAGCTGATTTTGTTGAATAATCACCATTGGTGTTGAGCGTCCACTCGATATGATCAGCTGTGTTCAAATTGAGGTGCACATAATGAAGACGATCCCAAAGGGCGACAAATTGTGTCAACTGCTGAACCGTGTTGATTGCTAGAATGTTTATGTCCTGCACCCATGAATTGCCCTGCAGCGCCTGTTGTACTGTTTTGTTCTTCCTTTTGCTTGCTGAAAAAATGGCTGGGGCTATGTCTTTTGGTGATGCACCATCCAGCCATGCCGAATGCCAAAAAAGAGCCTTGGCACCATCCCCAAGTGTAATCTTTGTTGCTGCATTGAAGAGTTGTCGATCAGTTTCATCACAGGGTACATCCATTCCTACCCAGGGTTTGCTTTCAGATCGCCAAGCATGCCATGATAGAACTGATAGGACCTTCTAGGCGTAGATCTAGTGTGTAAAACATAACTTAGATAAGGACTTGGTGATGTACCTCGCCGCATGCAGTGGCAGCCATGGCGCCGCCGCGACATGGCCATTGATGTCGGAGTAGAAGTAGCATCGTAGTGGGGCGCGATCCAGTAGCGACACCGATAGAGCTTCCCGTCGCTCACAACACTTCCCTCTTGATCGGACTAGGGTTAGACTCGATGGGAAACTAGCGGCAGCAGTGAACCTCGTGTCTTATGCCCCGGACCCTACCTTCCTCTTTATAGCGCTGCGCGATGGGGGGCCATCAACCAAGAAAACTGTTGGGCACCCCCGATTAGGGCGCGGATCAAGGGCCAAATTGGCCGTTGGGCCAACTTGATGGAGATCAACCTAACATTCTCCCCCTTATCTCATCTTATGACTTAAACTTAACTTACTTTATCTTTTTTCCCATTTCATCACAAATCAGTGCATAGAGCGTGCTTCATCGTCATGGTCAGTTGCCATTAGATTAAACAGCTACAATGCACCTCTCTGTTTTGAAACAGATTCTCAACTAGGCCCTTAGTATCTAGAAGTCATATGCTTTTTCGTAAACCCATGTCGACTGTGTGTTCTCTGAACGCACTGAGTGGTTAGCCTTTGGTAAGCGGATCCGCAAGTACTTGGTACTTATATGCTCAATGCTTTCAAAATAATTCTGAATTTTCTCTTTTACAACATATAACTTAATATCAATGTGTTTGGCAGCACAATTGATCTGTTGTCTTAGGAGTTAACTACTTTAAATGGTTATTGCTGTTGACTATCATTGTTAAATTCGGATACATATTTCGTTAACCACTTTTGCCTGTTCCTGAGGCCTCATGACAAGCTATACTATGGTATGCATCATTGATGACACCACAACTGTTTTATTGGAGCTTTTCCACAATAATACTCCAACTGTGAGTGTTAGCAACTACTGTGGATTTCATTACACATCTCGCCAAAACTTAATATTTGTACCCATAAATATTTGAGAGTACTTGTTCTTTCTTACTCAGCATGAGGCCTATGATACTTTACAAAAAATGCAAGACATTCTTAACTCCATTTCAGTGATCTATATCTGGACTGGACTTCTACCAAAATATCCCAGATACGTAAGCTATGTCAGGGTAAGTTCTTACTTGTACATTCATTAAGCTTCCAACAGCTGAAGCATATGGAACCATGTTCATTTGATCGATCTCATATCGGTTCCTGAAACACTGAAAGTTCCCAAATCTATTACCCTTGACTATATGAGCAGGCGTAGGTTTACTCGCATGCATACTTTATTTATTTAGAATCTTTTCTAAGTATGCCTTTGCGATAGTCCTAATACCCCTTTTCATCTATCTTAGTGAATTTCAATTTTTAGAACTAATGACGCTTCACCAAGATCATTCATATTGAAACTTGAGGACAAGAACTTCTTCTCCAATGGCAAATTAACATCACCACTAGTGAGTAGGATGTCATCTATACATAGGATGTGGAAAGTGAATTTTTCATTCTTGAACATCGCATAAACGCTATTGTCCTTCTCATTTTCCTTAAAACTCAAACTTTCTTATCGTTTCTTCAACTTCAAATACTACTATCTATAGACTTGTTTTAACCTATAAATGGATTTCTACAGGCGACATCACATACGTTATTTTTCTTCCACGACAAAACCTTTGGATTGTGCCATGTAAACGTTTTCATACAAATCCCCGTTGAGGAATATCGTCTTTACACCCATCTGATGTATCTCTAAATCGTAATGTGCCAATAACACCATTATGATTCTAAAAGAATCCTTGCATGACACTAGAGAGAAAACTCTCATCGTAATATATTCATTCTCTTTGTGTAAAGCCTTTTGGTACAAGTCATGCTTTATATCTTTCCACATTCCCTTTGGAGTCACATTTTGTCTTGTAGACCCTTTCCCAGCCTACTATTTTTGCTCCATTAGGAATTTATTCTAAGTCCCAAACATCATTGGTATTCATCGAATTAATTTCAACTTCCATAGCTTCTTGCCATTCAAACGAGTAAACGCTTCTCATGGCTTCTTCAAATGAGGTGGGATCAACCTACATTTGAATTTCTTCACTAACATAGATTTGATAGTCATCAGAAAACTGGTTTACTAATTCTTTGAGACCTTTTGGGGCCTCAGCTACTGGCACTTTCATATGGGGCTGTTGTTGCTCTTCATTGCCAAGAGGCAATTGATTCTACAGGCTCCTGTATCACAAGATCCTTGTTTATATTATTCATCTTCTTCGAAGAGCCAACAACAGTTGTTGTATAAGTCATACAACATCAACAGGTATTGAGAAAATTCGTTGTTTTGAATCACTGAAGTGGGCATGCAGTCCTGCTTCTCTTCAAGTCATAGATCTCTACATACCGTGCTCCCTCAGATCATCCCATCTTTTATAAAGATAGTGTATCTTCAAATTTCTTATTTGGGTTTAATCTGTTAAAACCTTATATGGCGCTTTAAGCACTGTCTTAATATCTTTGATGGTGACTACGCTATCTTTCTCTTGGAACTTAAAAAAAATCTAGGAATTTAGCTATTTCTCTGCTTAGGGGTATCGTTATTATGACCGTTGTACTCCTCCGACGATCACATTCACCTTAATTAATCTTTATCTCACTCTTAATGAAGAGTATCTTTCTTAATTGGTCTTATTATTCCTCCTCCTCGAAATATGGCATGAACTTTACTGCCATAATTTCGAGAACTATTCAGAAAAACTATGAACAAGGAGACACTTATAACTTACTTCATTGACATGATTACGTCATGCAAACAAAGTTATTTCTTGATCCGTATAGGAGTACACTTTCTTCATTCCACTTCAAGAACTCATCGAAGTCTTTTATTAGCAATACTTTTGTAAGTCACGCTTGCATCTTTTCTTATCTTTTGGTTAGTATTGACCATGACGGTGCATTTCTATTGTGCCATGGTCAATACTAGGATAGCATAAGAGCTACCCAAATTTCTCTCGCTATGCGGGATACAATAACATATGAGTCATCATAAAAACTTATCCCGCCATGCAGGATGGACTAGCATAAATGCTATGCCAAACTTCTCCCCATACGGGATAAATCTATATACAAACACGCATGCTTAATCCAACATTGGTTAAATTAGACATGCATGTTACTTATTGCAACTCTTATCATAAAACATTCACTTATACTTTATTTTCCAATTAAATCTTTTTGTTGGTTCCAATTTAATCAGAAAATTAGTAAACTAACAATAAAAAAACAGTACTGAACTGGCTTGACTCAAGCCTTTTCATTCACATAGCCCAGCATTGCAGCCCATTGGCATGCAGAGTGATCTCGTCGGTTAAAAAATAAAACTTACAAGATGCTTCTGCATCAATTCTACATTACCGTTGAGCAGAAAATAGAATTAATGCATAAAACTCATAAATTAACTTAAAAGATATATAACTACTCTTCAAAATTAAATTCCCCCGTTGGTTCAAATTTAATTAGAAGATAATCAACATCATTGCAGCGAAAACTTGATAATAAAATACATTCTATTAGTTCAGGAGCATTTCTTGGTCCTTATCTACTCTCTAAAAAATTGACCACGTTGGTGTATAATTTATCAGAGATTTAAACCTCAAACATAAACTCATTATAATATTGTCGTCATCAACGTTGGTTAGAAAATGACAATATCATAATCTAACTTAAAAAAATTAAACTACTCCTCCAATTTAAATTAGAGGATAAACATAATCATAATTTACTGAACCAAAGTCAATTGATCTTTAAATTAAATTCTCCCGTTGGTTCAAATTTAATTAGAAGATAATAAACATTAAACTTTGCAGTGGAAACATAAAAAATTGTTTATCTACTTTTTACAAGCATTTTACTGTACTCAACTACTCTCTGAAAAAATTATTCCGTTGGTTCAAATTTTGACAGAGATTTAACATCAAAACTTGTCAAAATTCATCTAAACTGCTTCTGAAAATATAAAACAAAAGTTTTGCTACTATGTTGCGCTCTCAGCGAAATTTGGCTAAACGACCCATCCGCCAGCGCTCCCGCGCGCGTGGCCCAGCGCGCTGCCGCGCTCTTCCACGGCCCAACATGGCAAAAATGGCCCGTGGCGGCTGCTCGCATCATGCTCCTCGCGCCCAGGCTGCAACCTAGGCCTGGGCCAGGATTTCCCTCGCCCGCGTGGGCTATATCTGGTCCAGTGAATGCCTACTGTCCATCACGATCCGACAGCTAGGCGACGACCTCGGATGAACAAAAAAAACCCCACACGGCACTCCCCAAAACCCTAATTTCACTTTCTCCCTGCTGTTTCTCTCTCTATGCCGCAACGCCGGCTTTCTCTCCCCTGCTCATCCCGAAACACGATGGCCCGAGGGAAGA